AAAGCATTAACAAGGGAAATCATTAACAAGGGAAATCATTAATATGGGAAATCATTAACACGGGAAATATTAACAAGAGGAAAAAATTCACAAGAAAAAAGGGACAATTCAAGGGGTAATATTAATTAACTTTAAAACAAAATATTATCAATGAAAAATGGACAGGGAAATGTCATTAAGGTATTTCCCTGTCCATCTTTCCTTGCTTATATAAAATATGAAAATATGTTTATTAAGAAGCCCTTTTATGATAAAAAATTTCTAGATAGAAACTATAAAAGAAGAAACAAAACAAAGTACAAATTAAAGGACTTTATCAAATAAGAGGCAATTGTTTACTTACCATCAACCTGATAAACTTCAAGGTCTCTGACCTGTAAGTTTCCGTTCGCAAAGGAGTTAAAGTCGAAGTTTTTCATGTCGTACGTGTAGTCCAAACTGAAACTCAAATTTAATTCAAATATACCATTGCTTTCACTCACGGTGTTTTTGAATGTGGTAACATCATATCCCCCTCCAAAAGTTGGTCCATATTTTGAGTGACAGTATATTGCTTTGGTATGTTTATCCGGTTTGATTAAGAATTGGTTAGGTGACCGTCTTCCATTATACCTGAGCTGGAATAGAAATGCTTTTGGGTCAGACACGTATTCACCGCTGTCGTCCCAGTTTTGAGAAGTGAAGCCTCCATACACGGTGTCATTGTTGTTATATAGGACGGTCACAGTCATCCCCCGGTTGTCACACTTGGAATGGAATGTCGGAGCTGAACATCCGTCCCGAGTTATCTTATACAATAGTTTAAATTTCCTCCGACCCCCAATCCATTTCAGGAGTTGGTCTGTGTCTTCCTTTTGTAGAATACCGACCATTTTTAAACCTATAGTAAGAAAACATGAAGAAAAATATGAGTTTATAATAATAGAGTATTGTTCAAAACTGTTCCTTTAATTCTTTTTTTCATTTGCGTAAATTATTTAAAGAATTAAACAGAGACCTGTTATGTACCTTTAGATTATACCAAGGTCTAGATGAATACACTTATCATGGTTTATTTATGTAACGTATGGAGATCATTGATAGCCATAAGTTTAGAAAATATGTACCAGTTATTAAACACGTCCATATACTTGGTAGATATAACATTTTTCATCAGTTCCCTTCTCCAAAATTCCATCAATACTGAAAGTAGGGTACATGTGGGTACATGTGAAATCAAATATTCATCGACTAGAAAAACGCGTTGCTTTGACTCTTTCAATAGCCAATTATTTGATAAAATATTAGTGTCAAATTAATTAAGGCTATCCGCTCATCAGCCAAGAAGAAAAACTTCAAAAAGTCTCAAAATTAAGCATCAATTTTCATCTTTTGCATCTAAGTATGATTCATGAGTCTTTGTATACTTATATTACTTATATTGGCCTTTTCCACTAGCGTGCAGTGTTTTTACGCTGTTTACGGAGATAGAAATCAAAGACATGAAGGCAAGCTTGTGTTCTATTCTTGTAAAACAAAATGTTCTGTAAAATCAATCAGAATTTGCATAGAAACGAGAATATTTTCTTACCTTTCTGTGACCTTAATACTCATTTTGTGGCAGGGGTGACAATAGTTTTTTTTATTGATAAACTGTTGCATTATTCTACAAACCCTTCCAAACCGGGGGGCAAAAAGGGGTCTTAGTCTTTGTTGTCCGTTGTCAAACTTTCAAAACTTAAGGTAGGATTCTTCTCATATTTCTAATATCTAAAAATTAATGAAATTTTCACAGAATCAAGAAGACATCAGTTCCCTCCTTACTCCTTGTCGTACCCCTGCCACAAAATGAGTATTATCATATTATCAAATATGTAAGTGATAGTATCAGTGAAATTAAATTTGACCGTTTTATATTAGAGGCAAGGTCAGGCCAAGGTCATTATCTTTTCCCTCGACATTAAGAATAAAAAAATTAACTTTGCCAATCATGTGATACCTAACGTTACTTCTATTTCAAACGTTTAATGATTGCTCTTTTTGCATAAAAACATATTCCTATATCGGGTCTATAGCATGATATTACCAAATTTACATAAATAATTTAACTTAATTGGATATTGGGCTAATCCGAATTTTCTCTGTTTTTCTGATTTTTTTTAGGCTATATTAGTTAGTTCATATATGTTTCCTATATTTAACTTTTTCTTATTTTCACATATAATAAAGTAGTTTTACAAATGTACAAAATGGTATAAAAACAAAAAGTTTTGATCGTTTACTTAGAGAGAAAAAATACTTTTTATGGATTTTTGGCTCAAATCTGCACTTTGATAGGAAGCGTTTAAAAGCTAACAAAGTTCTAGTTTGTTTGAAAAATCATATTTATTTGATATATTTTGAAAGTTTAGTCCCTCATTATTAATTTAATTTACATTTGAAAATTTCTCCAAGTCTTCAATTGTGTAAAAATTATAACTAAATTCATTGTTCTATTATAATTTTGAGAGGCAGAAAAGAAGATATTTTCATACGCCACCATTCCGCCAAAAATTTAGTTCCTACTAGTTTTCAAACGCAGTTTACCATTTCTATTCAAAGTTGTACAATTGTGATGAGGAAAGAAAAATATGGTCTTTTAAATTCCTTACACCTCAATATATAAGACATATAAGCAAATATACTTTTAATGTTTCATCTAGTCAGAAACCAGAGAATCCTACCTTAATGATAAATTCTAATTCAAAATTGAAGTAAACAATGAGGAGAATATTTTCAAAAATACTAAAAGTTATACTTGTTAGTTCACTAAATAATTATGCATGTTTTATTATAAGTTTATACTCGATTACTGGTATGTAATCGACAAAGACTGAACATATACTAGGACATCTGTCCTGTTTGAAATGCAAATCGAAAACTGAACACAATTTCTGGATGAAAAAATAACAGTTTGCAACTTGCAATTTTATATATCAGGTATATACAAAGTGTGTTTTCTGACACCGATTCATGTCAGTGAATTTGCGGAAGGTCTAATCTGTTGTGCTCATTTTGTCCAATATCTCGGGGTCCAAATCGTCCAAGTAGTTATACAAGAAATCATCGGCAAAATGGAGAATCTGCTGCATGGCTAACAGTGTCAGAATATTCACATTGGTGTCAAGTTCTCGCTCACTCTCGTAGTTCTTGACAGGAATCACGTGAGATCTTGGTAGACCAATCATCATCGCCACCCTGTTCACGTACTCCTGAATGGCGGGGACGAAATACGTCAATCCAACGTCATGCTGCAGGGGCTCACAAACTTTGTCAATCTTTGTGAGTAATACAACCTGAGGGATGCCTTTAAACAAAACAATTTTACAAATGAAACATATGGAGATAATGAACAGTATTCAAAATCAAAAGTCCATAAAACAATACAAAGTAGGAGCAGAGCAAACACGGACCTCCAAAACATAAGAGGAGGGATCAGGTGCCATGGAGGAGTGATTATCCGATGCTGACCGGTCAAACCTGCTTGTCATGATCGGGAAATAACGGGTAAAATCGTGCAAATCCAACAAACAGGTATGTTTACTGACAAACATTTTAATTATGATAAATGGTGTAAAACATCTGAACTTTTAACGAATTGTTATGCCATTATTTTCACACTGAATTATCAACGAATTTTTCCCATTTGCCCGATCCTGAGAAGGAGCACCAGATCGCGACGGTCTGTGCCAGCTGACAAGGGATGCTTACTCCTTCGTGACACCCTGATCCCAACTTTGAAGTTATTAGAGGTTCGTGTTTACTCTGTACCAAATTTATATTGCCCATATATACTTTAAACATCCATATTTCATTTAATTGATTCATGGTAATAAAAAGTTTTTTTTATACCTCTTTGATTCATGGGTGTTTGAAGATTTCTTATTTTTTCTAGAATTTTCTCCGACATGACGTCTACTGTTGATGCATCAATCACAAAGGCCACGCAGTGAATCTGATCCTTCAGCTTTGGGGCCTTGATAAACCCTGGGGTGTCTGGGGTCAGCGGAATCGAGGGGTTGAACTACAAAAGATCATACAACTGATACTTGAAACGTTCACCCTATCATCTTTTATAGGAAATGTTTCAGACTGTTTTAATATTACTTAAAAAACAAGATGTGTTTGTTAAAAACTTATGCCCTCTTAGACAGCTTTCGGCAAGGTTTAGTTTAAAGTTTCTCAAATGCAAATCAAACTTCAATGTCTGATTATTGTCATGAGAGGAAAACATATGTTATCTGCCAAAGAAATGACTTGTGAAATGAATAAAAATATCTGTGGAATTTTAAAGCCCAAGCACTAACCATTCAAAACTTGGGACCAATTTTAAAGTGTCATGTGTCAAGGTCAAAGAGTCAAATTAAAGGTACACTGTAAAAACTGTGTTTAGAAAATAAACACTTCCATTACGTGTTTAGACCTAAACATGTTTAGAATTGTGTTTAACGGCTAAACACTTGTGCCTAAGCATGTGTTATATCTAAACGTGTTTAGATTTAAGACGTGTTCAGATTTAAGTGTTTAGAAATTGAACACTTTCCGTGACAAACAGAGTTATCTTCCCGGAAATGACGCGTATATATTTGAACGTTAATAAAGCGGTTATCGAAACAAAGAAAATTCCAGTGTAAGCTAAAGAAGATGGATAAAAGGAAGCGAATCATAACCAAAGTGATAACCAGGAAGGGATTGTGAAATGCATTTGAAAGGCAACATTACTACAATAAAAGGTCTGCTTACTTATATTATTTTACATAAATTGGCTACAATGAGAAACGTAAATAAACATGCAATTACTCAATTGTTGATCAAGATTTCCTTCTTTTATTTTTGCATTCCTGAAAGCTAGAAAGGAGTTTGTATTATAGAATGCCATTGAAAATATCTATATCCGTATCGGTATGATATATACATAATTGTTAAATGGATTTCAATAAAAGTTGCAAAATATTAGCCAGTTAGCTATCAGTCAGCAAGGGGCATATTTTAAGTATAATTTCATTTCTTTCTTACAGGATATTGTCCAGATCGAAGAAAAAATACACTTCTCAGAGTAGTTGGTGTCATTCCCAAGTCCACGCAATTGTTGGTACATCTTCAGCACTTCTTGCATTTAAGAGGAAACTGTTCGGTATATTTTTAAACAGCCCCAAAACATTCGTATAATGGAAATGGATTCCTTTCTGGCAGTTATGGACGAAAACATATAATCGTGTGTTTCTAGTGAAAGACTTGCAGGAAATTAATAAACTTGATTAATTTTGTTACAGACATGAGGAATAAGTGCATACTTGCTGAGCTGATTAAAATTGACACAAGCCATAAAAAATGTTTATATGTTTAAACCTATATGTGTATTGAATTTAAGATTCTTCAAAATAAATCTATGTTTGAATGTTCACTAATGTTATGGTATTTCTAGGAAACTTATTTAATAATGTTTTTCTTCCAAAAATATTTTTTCCTGAGATAGTTTTTAATTTAAACTATTCTGTTTGATCTAATGTTGTGGAACTAAACATATTTAGCAACTTAACACTTAAATATTGATGTGTTTAGAAATGAGACGTGTTTAGGGCTAAACGTGTAAAAAAAAGTGAAACAAAAAATGTGTTTAGATATAAGTGTTTAGGGGTTAAACATGTTTAGCAACTAAACACATGAAGTCTAACGTGTTTAGAAATGAGACATGTTTAGAGCTAAACGTGTAAAAAAAAGTGATACAAAAAATGTGTTTAGATTTGCGTTTAGATTCTAAACACTGTTTTTACAGTGTATCAAAGGGAAGGCTTTGTCGTGTGTAATTATAAAACCCTGGCACCAACTGTTCAACAGTTATGGCGAAGGTTAACGTTTTTCAAAAGCAAGTAAAATTCCAAGATCAAGGTCGAAATTGTTGACATTCAAAGGAAGTCCTTGTCACAAGAAATGTTCCTTAAATATAAAAGCCCTAGTACTAACTGTCCAAAAGTTATGTCAACGGTTTTTTTTAAAGTGGGTCAAACTCAAAGTTCAAGGTCAAAAGGACAAAAAAAAAACGTACAAGTGTATTTATATATATGAAAGGTCTTATCACAATGAATATACATATATACATGTATAGTATGAAAGCCCTAGGGCCAACTGTTTAAAGTTATGACCTGGGTTAATATTCCAACTAAATTAAATCCGACTACATGACATGTTTAAACAAAGAGTGTGCTAAAATCTCACTTATTTGCGATATGTAGTTGCCGAGAAGATGGTAACAAAAATTTGATCCGGACAAAGAGGAAGTTGACATCGGATTTGAACAAAAATGAATCCTACAATATGACATGCCTACATAAAGAGTTTTCTAAAATAACATTCATTTACGATGAATAGTTGCTAAGGAAACTGCGATGAAAATGTGTAACGGTCAGACATACAGTTACACATCCAGACAGACAGACACAGTGGGTAAAACAGTACCCCCTCACCTTCGGAGAATGGCATACTAGTAATAGATATGAAAGCCATAGCTCCAACCAATCAAAAGTTATGGGCAAGGTTAGTCTTTGCAGACAAACAAACAAATAGATAAACAAAACCGACAGAAAGATGAACAGTGCAAAATTAAACTATATTTACATCCACTGAGTATTTTCTCCTTTATTTCTTAAGAAAACCAATTTGCGTTAATCACTGCATAAACTACATTAGGCATGTTGCCTGTTCAAATTTCTTGATTAGTGGCTGTTCCAACAATTAAATAAAGACGTTCGCATCATTAATACGATAATTAATCTTTTTAATCCTACTTTAAATGATTATTTAAACAGATATGAATATAAACAATAAAATGTCTTTCTTTGTTTGTTATTACTGGAATTAACGGTCGCAGCTATTGCAGAAAAAATTTACATAACCCGCTTACGCGGGTTATGTATTTTTTCTGCAACAGCTGCTTCCGTTAATTCCAGTAATAACAAACAAAGAAAGCATTTCATTGTTTAAATATACCCCCAATTTTGTGATTATGAGGGCATAGATATTATACATACAACGTATTTTTCTGGCACGTGACCGTCCAACAGATAGCACATTTCCTGCGTTTCGATCCCCTGTCCTTCTTCCAGGCCACGTGAGTCGCATAACCGGAAGTTGAGAGGTTTATCAGAGGGGCTATTTCTCACTTGGTAAGCTCTGAACTACAGTATGAAAGCAAATAAATTATTATAGATTAAAAATTACAAAAATTATTGAAAATTAAAAGCCAACAATATCTTTAGTTTAAAAGCCCTCATTAATAGTTTTTAATGGTTTGGAGCGTGGAAATGGGCTTTTCTCCTTTTCTGTTACATATGATTTAATGCCTTGAGCCACCCCTGAACTTTCACATGAAAGTCCTGCCAGGGAAAGAGAACATGTGTCTTCGAGGGTGGTAATGGTTTGGTCGTGACGATAGGGCTGGATAGTTCAAATGGTAAGAACACCTGTCTATCGATAGAGGATGTCACAGGTTCGATTCCGGTCCAGAAATATACTTTCTCCTTTCCTGTTATAGATGCAACACGAATTTTTGAAGAAAAAAAATGGCGCGAAAATAGTTTGTGGCAGAGTAAATCCCCGGATTTAGCCAAATTGGACAAGATAACGAAAATGTTTGTTAGACCCAAAGATATTTCAGTAGTATCCACAGAACTTAATCAGACTTACCTGTGTGGTGAGACTGTGGTCAGCCGTTCCGCTACACGCCTGGCTGGTCACGTAACCGCGGAAGATGGAGTTCACTGTATTAAAGAAACTGGACTTTCCCGCCCCTATCTGACCAATCAAGAGGACTTTTGTCTGACGTAACTTCAGCTGTTCTAGTGGTCTGTAGTTCTCTATTTCTTCCTTCAGTTCTTGCATTACCTGCACAATTTCGAGACAAAAATACGGTTTTATGTACGTATCACTTTTTTGCTCGACTACATTACGTTAAAAGAGATTTTCAGAGTCGGCATCATCTCTCGGTTCTAAACATTATTAAAAAAGAAAAAAACAACAGCAACTAATTTCCATGTTCAGTCTGCTAACTAATAATCATCGAAACATTTATACATGCATGATTGGCAAATAAGTCATTGTCTGGTGCTACTAGTTGCACATATACAGTTGAAATAATTACCGGTATTCTAGGTTTGTGATTTTTTTCTTTTGGAATGTAAAAGTATTTTACCGTACATTTTCGTCGCCCGCGTGGGGCAGTGATTAGAGTGTCTGATCTGGAGTTGCGAAGTAAGGAGTTGATCGTAATACGTCTCGGGTTCGAATCCCATAGTGGGACGTGGAACCGGTCCTGCGGATGAGAGGTCCCGTATCGCAGTAATTGCTGGCACGAAAAGAGAGAGAGAGAGAGAGAGAGAGAGAGAGAGAGAGAGAGAGAGAGAGAGAGAGAGAGAGAGAGCGTTGGCTGATTAAGGAGCAACAAGAAGGAAAAAGACATTTTTTACTGTCAGTTATCCACAATAAACTATACATTGGGAAAGATTCAGCGATAAGATGGCGGCGGTAAGATAATTTTAAAAGCAATTTGACATTGTTTTACCCTTGTTGTCCATTCTGGAGTTTTCCTCCAAGGAACTTCTAATGGATCATTCATGTCACATTCTGAAACAGTTGGTAAAATATTAGCAAATTATCATAAAACGCCAATACTGAAGTAAAGGACGTGTTTAGTGTCTTATTTGCCTTGTTTAGATTTAAGTGTTTCTGCAAGGTTTAAAGTTTTACAAACCGATTGAATAAGAGTACTCACCATCGACCTGATAAACTTCCAAGTCCTTAACTTGTAAGTTTCCATTGGCAAAGGTATTAAAATCGGTTCCTTTCATGTCATAGGTGTGACCCAGATCGCAGGACCCATTAAGAGCAAAAATGCCATTACTTGCATTCAAAGTGCCATTGAATGTGGCAAGATCATATCCTCCTCCAAAATAAGGTCCATAATTTGAATGGCAGTATATTGCGTAATCATGTCTATCCGGTTTGATCAGAAACTGATCGGGTGACCATTTCCCGTCGAACTTTAGCTGGAAAAGAAAACCCTTTGGGTCGGAAAAGTAGGTCCCTCCCACGCTGGTCCAGTTTTGAGATGTGAAGCCTCCATACACGGTGTCATTGTTGTTGTGTAGGACTGTCACAGTCATTCCCTTGTTGTCACACTTGGAATGGAATGTCGGACCGGAACATCCGTCCCTGGTTATCTTGTACAAGAGTCGGAATTTTCTCCGACCCCCAATCCATTTCAGGAGTTGATCTGTGTCTTTCTTTTGTAGAATACCAGCCATTTTCTTCTATGTGGTACTGTTGTATTCTTCAGATATTTTCTGACATAAAGAATATGAATCTTAATGTTATGCATAATTATTCAATGTTTGCAATCACGTCGATTAATGCCTCGAATCAAACTATACAGCAATTACAATTATTTACATGTTCCTGTAAAATGAAATGAAATAGAAGTAATAGAAATACTAGTAGCAATATTGACAAGCTTTTTCCCGTTAATTTCCATAGTCCTGACCCACTGACGTCAGACACAAAGAGTGGAAATCAATTGCAAGAGTTGTATTTGCTGACAAGGTCATGGTTTCGACGATTGAACTCAGTTGCAAAATAATGACAACAAGTTGTTTTATTAACTTGTTTGTCAATAGCTTCATTAGCTTGCCGTTTTCAGAAATTGATTGTAATAGAGCATGTTCTTTCATATTGAGTCTAATTTGGCCAAAAAATATTTACATTTGAAAAATGATTTCTCTGTCAAAACTTTTAGAAAGTTAAAGGTACTTGGACACAGATTTGAAGTTATTATTTTCTCCATAACTTATATATTTTAATAGCATTTCACACAAAAATTAATTTAAAATCTTATTTCATTTAAAAGATATTGAAATTTCAAATTTTTCGGCGGGTTTGATTGACATATCCTTGCACTCTCACAAATTTAATTTTATTCTTAATCCTTAGGAAAAGTGGCAATCTCGTTTTGTATACATGAAAACTATTAATACTATAATCCAGAAAATTCAGAGTAGACATGTTCGAAAGCAAAACAAAAACACAATATATTGTCAGTCCGTGCAGTTGTGGTAAGCAGACTGTGACGATTGAACGCACCCGGTGAATTCTAAATATAAACAATAACAGAACTCGAGCCCTGTTTACAAAAACTGTGTACATAACACGAGTGTGCTCGATTTGCTAAACTCTGTACGCATCTCTTAGTTCGGAACGACGATACTTGTGAAGGTGTTTTGCTTTCTAACATTTCTACTCTGAATAAAATTATTTTTCTTGATAAAAGTTTTAATATTTCTCATTAATACACATCAAAATTGCCACTTTTCCTTAGGATTAAGAATAAGGTTAAAATTTGAAAGTGCAAGGATGTGTCAATCAAACCCGCCAAAAAATTTGAAGTTTTAATAACTTTTAAATGAAATAAGATTTTAAATTAATTTTTGTGTGAAATGCTATTAAAATATATAATTCGTGATATTATACAGAAAAAATGAGAAAATATGAACTTCACATCTGTGTCCAAGTACCTTTAAGTAAGGTGATTTCTCGATATTTAGTGAAGGTCAGGAGCCTAACTCTTGCAATTGATTTCCACTCTTTGTGTCTGACGCCCCTGGAAAAAGGTTTATCATTCAACTGATTTTTGGAATATGAAAAGAACTTTTGCATGATTAGCACTTACGAATTCAATATCTGTTTCAAATTACTTGGTCTGGGAATGTTTTCTATTGGAACACGTGGACACAAACAATAATCTTAAATTCTTTATTTTTGTTATTCATAAACACTTTTAATTAATAAATTGAAACAAATATTATAGAACTGTAACATTACCATACTTCTCTATAAAAAAAAAAAATACCTGCAAGTCCATGTGTTATTGCTTACCTTGATTATATTTCAAGTGATAAAGTATGGCTACCCAGGATTAACATTTTAAAATGTATCAAATACCCTGTTAGGTTCAAATCGTTACTAGCTTTTTACCTCTTATCTGTGAAACTGACGAAACCAAACAGAGGTTACAAAGTAACCAGTTTCTTATCTTTTCTATGTACATACATGTAACGAAGGATATGAAGATAACGAACAGTATTCAATATCAAAGTCCATATAAAACAATAATTCTTGAAAGTATTCTGCCACCAGCCAATCATGCAACTGACACTTGTTTCGCTTGTGGTTCAATCTCCCCCTTTTCTACTCATTAATTTTATCTTTTCCTTTAAATTTACTGTAAATAAATTGACGTAATTAATTATCAAATAATAATTTAGTATTTTGCAGTAAAGGACTTGACGCCCTAGACGTTTGTAATATGGTCAGGTAGATGGAGAATAAATTCAGCATTTATTTTAGCCATGTGATTACTTATTTTATACCCCCGCTTGAAAAAGGAAGGGTTCCAGTTTACTAGTATCAAGCGATCGGGATGTCCGTCCGGCTGTTACGTTTGGGGTACCCATCTCTTATCCGCAACTCCTTTTTTACCACAGAATGAAATTTAATGAGACTTACATAATCTTGGTTACATAGTGCCATTGTGACTTCCTATTTTACTTTTTGATCGGACACATATTTCTGGTCCCCCAGAGCAAAACTTGGGCTTTGCCATTATATATTAATATGAGAGGCGGGGGTGGGGTTGGGGTATTATTTAGTAAGCTCATTGCTCTCAGTACCTCTAGTCGATCTTGATTTTGCTTAATCCATGATGACGTTAGGATCGAGTGAGTATACTACATGTATTGAGTAATCGTCCTTTGGTTCAGTGTTTGCCATTTTTTTTGTCCTCCTCCCTTCTTGTAGTCCTTCATTAACCGTTTAGCACGTGATATTGTACTTATAACTCTTAATACGTTTGATTAGGATATTTATGGCACGCCAAATTCACAAAAATGAGATAAACATAGTTTCACAGTCGATAAACTAGGTTTATCGGTTGTAAACTATAGTTTACGGACTGTAAACGTTAATCTATATTTTACATCCGTAAACCATAGTTAACGCGATAATCTATGTTTTACAACCGTAAACTATACTTAACACTGAAAACAATCATTTGCAATTGCAAAACATAGATTATCTGATAAATACAGTTTCACGATTTGTAAACTATAGTTTACAAACCGTTAACTATAGATAACGATCTGATAAATATAGTTTCACGATTTGTGAAACTATGATTAACAACTCTTAACTATAGTTTACGATTGTAAACTATAGTTTACAAACGTGAATCTATGTTTATCAACAAAGTCTATTGTTAACGCTTATTACAGACAGATAAACTTAGATTATCATTCGTAAACTATAGTTAACAACCGTTAAATATAGTTTTACAGATGAAAACTATACTTAACGAATCTTAACTATACTTAATGAATTGTTAACTATAGTTTACAGTCGATAAACCTAGTTTAACAATTGTGAAACTAGGTTTATCTCATTTTTGTGAATTTGGCGTGCCATAGATATTTCTTATTTCCTGCTCTTACTAAATATTTCTTTCACCAAAGTTTAAAGCCTAAATTTCTTTGCCGTCTGTTTGTTTACCAAGCACTCCATTTGTTCCTATTGATTTTCCGAACTTTCCCCACATGATTGTATATATGAATTTATAACCCGAATTTTGGCATGTGAATCCAACTTTATGAGTCATAGAAAAAGTTTGCATTTCCTTAAAATTTCATGCTTTCTAAAGGTCTTTAGTTGCTCGTAATATTTTGAACATGAATGAAAGCGGGACAAGCATTAATTAGTCCCCTTACGGTGAAACCGTACGATGAGTACCAGACAGTTTGTGTCTAGTCTAATGAGTACCAGACAGTTTGTGTTTTGTACAATAAGTACCAGACAGTTTGTCTCCTGTACAAGTACCAGACAGTTTGTGTCCTGTCCAATAAGTACCAAACAGTTTGTGTCTAGTCCAATGAGTACCATACAGTTTGTGTCTAGTCCAATGAGTACCAGACAGTTTGTGTCTAGTCCAATGAGTACCAGACAGTTTGTGTCTAGTCCAATGAGTACCAGACAGTTTGTGTCTAGTCCAATGAGTACCAGACAGTTTGTGTCTAGTCCAATGAGTACCAGACAGTTTGTGTCTAGTTCAATGAGTAAAAGACAGTTTGTGTCTAGTCCAATGAGTACCAGACAGTTTTTGTCTAGTCCAATGAGTACCAGACAGTTTGTGTCTAGTCCAATGAGTACCAGACAGTTTGTGTCTAGTCCAATGAGTACCAGACAGTTTGTGTCTAGTCCAATGAGTACCAGACAGTTTGTGTCTAGTCCAATGAGTACCAGACAGTTTGTGTCTAGTCCAATGAGTACCAGACAGTTTGTGTCTAGTCCAATGAGTACCAGACAGTTTGTGTCTAGTCCAATGAGTACCAGACAGTTTGTGTCTAGTCCAATGAGTACCAGACAGTTTGTGTCTAGTCCAGTGAGTACCAGACAGTTTGTGTCTAGTCCAATGAGTATCAGACAGTTTGTGTCTAGTCCAATGAGTACCAGACAGTTTGTGTCTAGTCCAATGAGTACCAGACAATTTGTGTCTAGTCCAATGAGTACCA